CAGAGGCTCAGGGGAGATCTCTGTGTGGTGCTGCACTGGCCTGGGGGAATGGGCAATGCAGTCAATGTGTAGCCTCTTCTCTTATCCTCTAATGCAATCTGTCTTGATCTCTAAGGTGCAGGCAGGTGGTTCAGTCTCACTTCCATGTTCTAGGATTCTCTCAGTGGTGTCGTCTTCTTGAATAGTTGTTGGTTGTTCCTCTTGTGAGAGGGAGCGAAGTCAGGAACAACCTATATTGCCATGTTGGTGATGTCACCTCTGAAAATCAATCTTAATTATCACCAGTATTTCCTTGTCTTCCACCCACCCCAGCATTCTTGCTTCCAAGAGATAATCATCATTTGTAACAGTTTAGTATGTATCCTTCGAGACCCTGTTGCAGTAACTCTATACCCCTGATTGCCAACAGTTCATTTACAGTGATACCCATTTCTTTTGGAAGTCTCTACAATGGGTTGGTGGTGACTTTGTCCATCATTATTTTCTTGTCAACACTATCATCAATCAGGAGTGCGTATAAGGATGAATCAGACTTGCACCTTGACCTCAGGTTGCTTTCATTGTAGTAGGAGTATGCAGTGACAACTATAATACAAAATGAAAAAGGTGTAAGAGAGGAACAGATGAAGTGCTGTAGGGTTCATGGAGGGAGGAAAATATTTACCTTTGGCTGACCAGGAGGTAACATGTGAGCTATATCCTGAAAGACAGACAAGGTTTGGGTTGGGGAGAAGGCCAAAAGCAGATATACTGGCAGGAGAAAGGCACAGAGATGTAGTGAGTTTACAGAATTATTCCATTTTCCTAGACTGTAGCATGCATATATGGGAGTAGCAGCAGATAAAGATGCAAAGGTAGTTTGGGGGAAACCTCTGAACACCTCTATAGTAAATCTTGAAAAATTTTTGAACAGAATAGTAGCATGACTAGAGATGTGCATTAGGAATATTAATCAGACATTACACAGGGTAGAGTATCAGTAACAGGCTTGCAGTAATTTGGAAGAAGTACCATGAGGTGTAGTGGCCATAGAGCTGTTGCTGAAATAGGACCTGTAAGTCTTAGCAACTACCATATTCCATCAGATCTAAGAAGGCCTTGATTGTAAGACACACCGTTATTTTATGTACCAGTGAGGGGGGGGAAGAAACACTGTCAGTTAATTTTCAGACCACCAATTATAAGATGTAGCCTGATTTTAGAGATTATAATAATGAAGAAATGTGCCTATAAAATCAGTGACATAGAATAATTGCATGGATACAGCGAAAAGATGGGATATGCAAAAAAGAAATGAGACAGTTTAGAAAATGAAAGAAGGGGGAGATGAGATCAAAGACACAAGTGGAAAAGTAAACCTTCAAGGGGAGGAGAATGCATCTTCCTTTGCCATGGGATGAAGAAATCAATGAGCAATGACTTAGAGAAGTTTAGAAGTTGAGAAGCTAAAAACATTAAGCAAACTCATATTAAATAACCTCCATCTTGGTAAAAGAGGAGGCAAGGTCATCTGCAAAAAGAATGACGTGGTGGGTTTGAGGGCTTGGGACTTCAGAGTGAAAAGGTTTCAGGTGAGTGAAGCATGAAAGATGGAGTATTAAAGACAGTTGGTTAGAAAGAACTAAAAGAATTCCGCTCAGAAATGAGGGGCCCAGCTAAGGTTGAACAGCTGAGACTTATAAAGAAACCAATTGGCCCTATCTCATGACTTTGTCCAGGAGCACTTGAAACCATGAGAAAAGGATGGAAGAAAACAAGTGGAGGGTACTTTCTCTGCAGGGTAGGAGATTGGCTGTACAGGTATTGTGGAAGGACAGAAAAGCTAAATAATCCAAGTTTCTCCTAAGGCATGGTGTTGATTTGGCTTGCCATGGAGTTGAGGCTAAGAAATGAGAAGTGAGGCCAGAGAAGACTAATAGATAAACAGATTTCTTTTAAGTTAGCAGGGAGGGTTTTAAAAGGATTCAAGATTATAGAGAAGGTAAAGAATAAATTATTTAGAAGAGGAGGAGTAGGTAAGCAGAAAGTTGATTAGGGAATTGCAGAATTTGAGATCACGGATGTAGAATTCTGAGCGTTGAGTCTTGATGTATTATCTTTCTAAAACACAGAGGGGAATGTATCTCTGTTTGGCTTGAAAACCTCTATTTCAGGATGAAGTCTTTACTACTCATAGAACAGACAAAGCTCATCACAAGCTGACCCCATCCTACTTTTCCAGGCTATTATCTCATTTCTTCTTGTGAAGCCCATATTCTAACCACACTGAACCCTTCTCTATGCCCAGAATCCTCAAGGCTTTTCTCTACCTTCTGCCTTTGCACACAGTTCCCCTTGCATGAAATGCTGTTCCTCCTCTTCTCTGCCTTGCAAACTCCTGCCCATCTTCAAGACCTAATTCAGATGGCACTTCCTCTGCCAAGTCTTTCCAGGCTCCTGCAAACAATACTGAGCACACCTTTATCTGTGCTTCCACAGTACTCTGCTCAGACATCCTATGGAATTTTACCACAAGTATATTGATTTATATGTCTCTTTCCCCAGTAGATTATAAACTCCTTGAAGTCAGAAACTATCGAATTCTTTACCCACAGTGCTAGCACATAATATTGCTTTTGTTGTCTTGGTTGTTGAGTTTTAAATGAATGACTGAGCTAATCCAGTGCTTCTCAAACGTTAATGTGCATTTGAATCACCTGGAGATCTTGTTAAAATTCAGATTCTGATTTAGTCTGAGGTGGGGTCTAGGATTCTGCCTTTCTGACAAGCTCCCAGGTGATGCCTGTGCTGCTGGTTCATGGAACTAATGCAGAGTGTCTTTGCCCAAGTAAATAGCAGAAGTGGAGTAAAGATAACTGTTCCAATTCCACATTTATTGGGGCAGTGACTTGGAAAAATCCTCAATATGAACACTGGAGCCCTAAAAACGATAGCAGAAAATCATGCGGGAAGAGATGCTTAAAACACAGAATAAAGCAGGAGACCATTGTGGAGGCTAGTAGCTGACAAGACTGGGATGATACAGTTCTGTGACTTACGTTTTTTTTTTTTTTATAATTTTTATTTATTTTTCCCCAAAGCCCCGGTAGATAGTTGTATGTCATAGTTGCACATCCTTCTAGTTGCTGTATGTGGGACGCGGCCTCAGCATGGCCGGAGAAGCGGTGCGTCAGTGCGCGCCTGGGATCCGAACCTGAGCCGCCAGCAGCGGAGCACACGCACTCAACTGCTAAGCCACAGGGCTGGCCCATTACATTTTAGAAAAGGAAAGGCTGGGCCAGCCCAGTGGTGCAAACATTTAAGTGCACGCGCTCCGCTGCGCGGCCCGGGATTCGCCGGTTCCGGTCCCGGGCGCGCACTGAGGCACTGCTTGTGGAGCCATGCTGTGGCCATGTCCCATATAAAGTAGAGGAAGATGGGCACGGATGTTAGCTCAGGGCCAGTCTTCCTCACAAAAAACAAAAAAAAGAAACGAAAAGGAAAGGCTGTTCCATGATGGCAGCTGCTATGAGTCGGGACTGCAGTGAAGGATGTTCTCCATGGAACGGGTGGAATGTCAGAAGTCGAGTTTAGGGGTTCACAAGAAGGGAGAGGGGCAGTGTTTATTCTCAGCAGAATGGCATTTCCACCAGTGCAGACAGGTGGGTGAGGGAATGGGAAAGGTGCATTCTAGCGGAAGGGAAGCCTCTGAAGAAAGGGGAGGTACTAGAATTTGACAAGGGATATTTCCTGATCTTAAGTTTTCAGGTTCAAAGCACAAAAATTCTCTTTTTCTTTTTTTAAACTCATAGGTGACAGAAAAAGTAGCACTAGTAAGCATTCTCTTTCCACGTATAGTCTCCCAGATCTGATAATACTAAGGATGGGTTCAGTAAACCTAGTTTCTTTTAAGTATTATTGTACAGAAGTAATATATGCCTTTTTAACATACGGAAAAAGGCAAAAATAAAGAAATGTTTGAATCTCCTCCCACTAATCCTCTTCCCCCACAATGAAGTAATCAATATTTACAGCCTGATGTGTTCTCTTCTAGTTTTTATCCGTGCAAATTTATGTACCCATAGAGAGGAATTTTTCAAATTCTGTAATGGTATTTTCACGTGCACGTTATTCTGCAGATTTTCTCACTTAGCAATATGTCATAAACATCCCCCCAGTTCAATGGATAGAGCTCTAACTTATTTTTTTCTTAGTCATTTTTAAATAGCTGTGTATAAATACAGATGTCCCATAATTTGTTCTGCTATTCTCCTGTTGATGGACAATTGGGTAATTTCCAATTACTGCTACTATAAACAATATGACACACAAAAAAAAGTCCTGTTGTTACCAGTGCCTCAATAACAGAACTCTGTGATTTCAACCAGCCATACATATCACAAGTAACTTAAATCAAGGACATCTTTTTTTTTCTTCTGGTTTCGGTAAGGACCTGGTGAGGCGACCCTGGCACTGACCATCAGGCACTCTGGCCACGCTGGCTCCCTGGGTACCACTGTCCAGCTAGCAGGGGCAGATGGGCATGGGGGACCAAGAAAAGGGTGAGCCTAGCTGGGTGGGATCCTCTGGGGGGGGTGTCTCTGGGCCCAGGCAGGGGTGGGCACATCCAATTCTCCTCCCCTGGAGCGCAGGGGTATCAAGGACATCTTTTAATGAAGCATAGCAGTGGCTAGGCCTGTGCTATCCAATACAGTAGCTGCTAGTTGCATATAGCTATTTAAATTTAAGTTTGCTAAAATTAAAGCAAATTAAAATTCACTTCCTCAGTCACATTAGCCTCGTTTCAAAGTGCTCAGCAGCCACATGTGAGTAGTGGCTACGCTATTGGACAGTACAGAACAGACCATTTCCATCCTCATAGAAAATTCCATTGGACAGCCTGGACTAGACATTCTCATGTTACATCCTAAAGACGAAAATATTTTTCAGTGTACTAGTGTTTTAATGAGAGCACGTTTTAAAAAGTACAAACTGTGTGTCTTCATCGGTTGCCTCTGCAGTTACTTCAATGAGAATCAATACCCAGATGAAGCAAAGAGAGAAGAAATTGCAAATGCTTGCAATGCAGTTATACAGAAGCCAGGTAAGGCAGCAAGCACCGCTGTGCTCTGTGGTGGAGCTCTGTGGTGGAGATCATCATTTAGGACACTAAATCTCCTCCGACTCACCCAATTGGGTGCTCTCAGCTCCGTCCGCGCTATCCTCCTGTGGATAGTCACTGCCCTGATCTGTTCAAACACTACTTCTTAGGAATGTGATTATGGTACTCCAAATCAAACGTTCACATGGGAAAGTTTCTGGGGAGCGTTCCTGCTTAAGATATGAGACCTTGAAATTGTTCTTTTTAAAGACTATAGGGATTTCTTTTTCCAAAAATATAGCGTAAATGTATCAATTCCAAAATAATTTTAAAGTTTAGATTATTTAAGCAAGGCTTGTCAATGAAAAGATTAAGATAGTTGTGTTTTTTTTTTTTTTTTTTACAATTGTTGTAAATTGTATAATTCTGTATTCCTGTTTAAAGAAAGAACTCTTCTTTGGAGTTGGCTTCTATCTCCTTCTCACATTGGGATGACTTCTGCTTAGCTAGGAAAAATTTAGAGTTATTCCATTCCTGAAGTCCTATGCAAGTCAACAACAGAGCCACTTAAACACTCATGTGTCTTTTCTTCTGTGTGCTAAAATATTATTCCACATTTTATGGGTTTTGTCACCAAAAACCATTCTCATTTAAGATGATCCAGTTGATCTTCATTTGGCCAGTTAATTTGATTACCTTAATGGCTATATACAAAAGTATCAATGTTTTTAAATAAATAAACTGTAATTTATTCTCCCTTAGCTAGAAGCCAGACTTCTAGCAATCTAGGTCCTACAAACTCAGCTCTGACGATATCTATACCCTTATTTCACACAAGCCAAAGTCCCAGCCCTAAAGCTGTGCAGGAACTCAGACTCTTCCTGGAAAACACCTTATCCCTATGTCATCCAGGCCCTAACCTGTTTTCTGGTTTCTCCATCCACTGTGGATTAAAATCTGAAACAGAAAAGAACAGGGGAGGAGGGAACGGTACAGGTGGGCCCTTGTTGGCAAGCATGGTGCTATCCATAAGAAGTCACATTTGACAGCAAAGATGACGATAAATCTAAAATGCAACCTGAATTGTGCTATGTGTTCCAGCATAGTTACAATAATGGATGGTCAGAGTGACCTTCAGTCTTCAAGAAAACATGGACAATATCCCCTGTCTTAAGACAGCAGGAAACTAGTTAATATAAGGCCTTAAAGATGTAAGTAAACTTCGGCTGTCTGGAAACTTGATGAAGAATAACATATTCATCTAGAATGATGCTATTAAATGAAGCCTCCATGTACTATCATGTGAACCTAGAACCCTAGTAGACTGACTTTGTGAAATTCTTTAAAATTGTATTTAATATTTATGTGGCTTTCTGAATTGAAGCATTTTATGTTATTGCTATTTGTGTATTTATTTATGTATTTGTTTATTCAGTAATAATTTGAGTGCATACATAGTACTAGGTAATGCTAAAAAAAAAATTTCTCCCTGTCTCTGCTATTCTGGCAATAAATGCAATCATAAGAACTTTTAAAAAAGAAAAGTATTATCTCTTAAAACTAGTCTCAGATATAGATTATCTAAATTTTATTGGATACATTCACAGGCAAAAAACTGTCAGATCTGGAACGCGTTACCTCTCTGAAAGTATATAATTGGTTTGCTAACAGACGGAAGGAGATCAAGAGGAGAGCCAATATCGGTAATGTATCAGAGAGGCTGCTCTCTTTTTTGAAGCAGTTACAGACATTATGTTGATTTTAAGAGTGACTTGAGTTTATTATTTTTTTTATTTATTTATTTTTTTAAAGATTTTATTTATTTATTTTTTTCCCCCCAAAGCCCCAGTAGATAGTTGTATGTCATAGCTGCACATCCTTCTACTTGCTGTATGTGGGACGCGGCCTCAGCATGGCCGGAGAAGCAGTGCGTGCCCGGGATCCGAACCCAGGCCGCTAGCAGCGAAGCGCGCGCACTTAACTGCTAAGCCACAGGGCCGGCCCATGACTTGAGTTTAGAACTGCATGTCTAAATGATCCTAACTTTTAAACCTAACAAGAATTGCCCTTATGTTTTTGTTCATTATATTTTTAATAACCCAGTTAGTATTATTTACACTATTTGTATTGTAATAGTAATGGCATTATTATTTCTAAAACTCATTGTTCTTAGTGTTCTAGAATCTAGAACTAAACATGGCCCCTGACCAATTACTCCTGTGGTGCATAGTAAAGATACTTGTAAGGTCTCGGGAAAGGGAATGTGATACCCCAAGCTTCTTTGTTATTACTGGGCTATGACTTAGATATTAAGAAACATCTGATTAATAGAATTGGAATGAAAGAGTCTCAACAGGCAGGGAACGTAGCAAAAGGCAGAGACTTAAAAAAAAAGAGCATTTAAGAAATGTGAATTGATGAGATTGGGGTAGGTTTTGAGCTTTTAAAATTGTATTTCATTTATAAACTTACTCCCTCTTCATCATTACAATTCTCAAATGCTTTATAGAACCCCAAGACAGGAGGGCTGTTTAATTAGTTGGTAAGTATTTATGAAGCACCTAACAGTCAACTACTCAAATGTAGCACGCAGAGCAGCAGGGACTCCAGAATGGCAAACGTTTTCCTCCCCTGGCCTATGTGTAGTTGAATTCCATCCATCTTCAATTTAAAAGAAATAAAACATAGAGCCATTTAGGTTATTTAATTACATTCTGATTTCCTCAACACAAAATTTAATTCAGTATTTAGGCCATTATGGTAATGTAACAGATAATTTAGGGATCTATTTGCTTTTTTCGAAGAAGCAGCAATCCTGGAGAGTCATGGGATAGATGTACAGAGTCCAGGAGGCCATTCCAACAGTGATGATGTCGACGGAAATGACTACTCAGAGCAGGTGAGCAGCCGAGCAGAGGTTCTTGGTTACAGAGTGGGTGGGTTAGTATGACAACTCAATTCTGTGGGTGCGTTTTGTATGGGGTGGGGGAGGGGAGACAGTCTAATGTCCCTCCACTCTGCTCATGTGTTTGGTTAGATTTTCCTGTAATTTGAAAGGAATGTGGTAAGATTCAGTTGTCCTGTTGAATTTGTGAGAAATCGTTATTCACCCACATGGATTTATTGTCATACAACAGGATACTTGGCAAGTACGCAATGGGGAGGAGGAGGAGGGAAGAAGTTCAGAGGGAGGCAGAGAAGCAGAGAAGGTAGAAGAAGAGAGGAGGATCTGACCCAAACAAGCAAGTTACACCATTCACCACACACACACTCAATGTTTGAGAAATACTAGGGGCTACTGGGTAGCTGTAATCCATGCCTAAACATGTACCAATGCAGCACACAGTGGAAGGTCCCACCCACTACGGCCCCATTGCAGTGGGAACCCTCGTGCCGAGATGGTTCTTCCAGAGTCTCTGGCACAGTGACACACACATCCTCTCATAAATGCATGACTTCTCACCTCACCCTGACTTATTCTTCATTGCTTGGGGGGAAAAATATATTTAATTGTAGCCACTGAATGGAATAATTCAGTAACTGAGAATGTGGGAACTTTTCCCCCCCACATATCCGTTGACAAATTGCATTAAAATTTTTATAGGATTTAAAATTCATTTCCATTTGGAATATGAAGAGAATATATGGTCTCTTCTCCTAGACTCCAGCAGGAAAACCTTGGCTCTTTCCTATGGTGTAACACCTTTTCTGGGTCCTTCAGCCAGCTCTTAAATGTAGTCCACTCTGTTCTTCCTTCTGCCCACCATTTTACAGCCTCTGTTTACCAGCTGGAGCGCAGACACTGCAAGAGTGCATGCAATTCCATACTTATCCCTTTTTAAACTCCAAAGACCAATTCTATGAAAATGAGAATGAAACAATGATGCCTGTACTTCCCAAGGGTTACCTTTTTCCCTTTAGGACTCCAAATCATAGCTCCACATTTACTTGAGAGAATGTTCTGTAAGTCTTTCTAATTGGAAACATTCTTGTTATTTTTCAATCTACCAGTGTAGATGGATCATTTCCATCTTTTTTTCCAGATGCCCTAAGGGCAGCACATCCCATGCTTTTTTTCCGAAGGGACTTACCCTTTCCAAAGCTTTTTGATGCAGAGTTCCCCTGAAGATATGACAGGTGAGAACTTACCCCTTATTTGTAACACCATCTTCAGTGCCTGATGAACATCCTGCAATGCCAGTTTCCCTCACAGCTTTATTGTGTAACACATTGAGCTGTGTGTGGAAGGAGAGCTTCACACTCCCTCTAAATAAGACACCTCCCGCTTCCCTCGCACAGCTGCCTTACAGCAGGGGAGCACCACACATTTTATCCCCTAGTCATTTCTGGCAGTCATACTTTTGTCCTGTTGTAATTGAGAGTTTTTCCCCCCTGCCCCAGAAATGCATTTTTATCCTTAAGATGTTGGTGTCTGTAGTTTTGTTTAGTTTTCTCAGTTCAAAAGAAAGCTACCATGGATTCTAAAAATCTCTTTGTAGGAGTACCAATCCAGAATTTAATAGCTCACTAGTATGGCCTTCAATGACTAGTGCTATATTTGTTGCAAACTGGAATGATCCAGGTTCAATGATCATCATCAGCAATCTTTCTGATAGAAGCAATAAAATTCTCAGCAAGAAAAAATATTTTAGTGCTTTTTATTTGTTGAATCATAAAAATGTCAACCGGAAGTCTCTGGACCTATATCCATTCAGTGTCTACTTAAATACATTTCACCTCTACTCTCTCATGAGCCCCTCCCCCACTCTTCCTCCCATGAATGTTCTGCCTCTCCTTGCCCCAGCATGCCTTTCTGTGAGCTAGAGAATTTTCCAATCCACTAATAACATTTGTTTCTTATTTCTACACATCTAGGATGACAGCACTAGCCATAGTGACCACCAAGACCCCATCTCATTAGCTGTGGAAATGGCAGCAGTCAACCACACTATCTTGGCATTGGCCCGACAAGGAGCCAACGAAATCAAGACAGAGGCCCTGGATGACGACTGATCAGGGAGGGTTGAACACGAGAAGTTAACTTAGTTTAGACGTAGCACCTTAGCAGACTTTCCTCGGTCCTTAACATGTGTTCTTACAGTATAACTTGCAGTTTCTTGTATGTCAGTTAGCTGTTAGGGTCTTGTTCTGTGAAGATGGCATGGTGCCCTCAGCATTTGCATATACTCTCTCAGTATTAATTCCCAGTAAATAATAACCAACCAACCAACCAAACTTCCCTCTCCCAGCCCCTGAGGCTAGAAAATCTTGCTGCTCTGTCTTAGCATTCCAAGAAAGTGCTTCCAGGTATTTAGATAGCCCTCAGTTCTCAAATACTAGGCTACGTGTAAAACCTTGGGTACCTTTAGATTCTTGTAACACTAGTCTGTACTCCTTTTCCTTCCCCAAGACTGACAGGGTGCAAGCTGAGGTAGTGTGGCCCAGGATTGACAGACACCATTTGGGGAATATCTGCAGAGTAAAAGGAACACTAGCATCCCCACCTCAATGTGGGAATAATTGATTTCCAGCTGCAATAAGCCGTGCCTCATAATAGTCACACTGTGGCTAGATTATACTTCTTTGGGTGCTGTGCTAAGAATGTCAGTGGATAAACTCGATCTCAGATTTTGGTTGATGTTAACATGCCTGACACAGACATCCTTTCCTCTCACAAGCTGTGTGTCTTAGCAGATAAAATACTGCCTTCTGCCTTTGGGACCATGAGTAAAACAAAAAAAAGACAAAAACAAAAGTTATAAAAAAAAAACCCAGCTTGAGAGCATTGGAAAAAACGATGAGCTGAATGTCTAATGGATGTTAAGTCTAGTTTTCAGAACCACTATACATTACGTGGCACAGGTACGTGCCTGCCTGGAAAAGTGCTGGAGGTCATCACGGAAGCCACTTTGCCTCCTGTCTGTGGCCCTTTTCCCTGCTACCAAAAAAGTCTTTCAAGGATGGAGCTAAGGTCAAAAATGAGTGATTGGACTTCCAGTTATTTGTATCCATTAACTGAAGCCCCCTCAATATGAGAGGTCGATAGAGGACTTTACAGTGGGATTATGCTGACTGACTATCACAAATGCAAATACTTTCCTAAATAGGAGCAGTAAAAAGCAGGGGATGTTTGCCACTTATGTGGTGGGTCTTCGAGATACAACGGGATGTGACTGCTTTGGTGTTCTCTTTACTCTGTCCTTGTAGAGATGTGAAAAGCTGTATTGCTACAGGCAATTTATTTAATAATTGGAAGCCATATTGATAATGGATGTGGTAATATTTGTAAAGTTTAATCTACTTTAAGCAGCAGTAACTAATGGAATTTTTTTCCTTGATCACATATGTAGCACTTTTGTTACTTTTTAAAGATATTTATATTTGATAAATCTGTTTTTCATTTTGAGAACTCAAAATACCAAACAGTGAACTTGCGTTATAAAGTCACCCTGTGATCACCTTGGCATCTAGTAGCAAAATGATGAACTATTCATGCATCAAAAAAAAAAATTACATCTGCTGGCCTGGTATGAAAATGATCTCTTGGCATCCTGATTAAATGACACCCTGTCACTGTGGCTAAGAGGAAACAGCCTTCAATGTAGCAGCGTAGGGTGCGTCTGAGAGAGGCTTAACTGCTGTATATTTTCTGCCTCGTTCCATCTCTCCTTTCTACGTACAATGAAGCCTTGTTTAAAGGGGAATACGGGGCTGGCTATTAAGCAGGGCTTCTATCTTTCTGTCCATTACCTGAAAACCATTTCTAAGATGGAAGGAAGGCCCCATTTCCGCACCTCCCCACTCCTCCTCCCCCAGCAAATGTATTCAACTTAAAACCATTGAGAGCGAGTGAGACTTACTGACCGTTTTTCCCTTTCTCGTTAGTGAGAGATTGAATATCTGCCAGTTTCTAGCTGGTCCAACGCCACTTACGGCGCATGCTGACGAGATCATCTCCTTATTTCTTAATCCTGCTTATGTCAGTGTGAGGAAGCCTTTGAGAAGGCATGAAAATGCCACCTTATATGGGTCTGTGACTTTAAAGAGCTATAGGCAGGACCTGGGCCTGCTCTTGTCCATGGATTTCAGGGGGAAAATGTATATACTTTTTCCAGCTTCCAAGAATTGAGGTAAAATGGAGTAGTCTTTTCTGTTTTACTGTATTACTTGAACCAACAAATTCAAGAGTAGCATTTGTTGTTCTCAGGAATGATCCCCCCCGCTTACTTTCTTTCTTGGTGTGTTTGACTTTTATTTCAATTAGGAAGATTGTGTTATCTTTCTTTCCTTTTATATTACTTGGGAGAAATATAACATTGTATCTTTCAATTTTGGTGGAATTTTGTCTGCTTATTCTCGGTTGAATCAGAAAGAAAAGGAGAGAAAAATACACTGTCTGACAAGCCACATCCATGATTTATTGTAAGAAGATTATTATAATTGATAGCTTCTCTATGATGGGATTGCTAGTATCATTTGTTCTTGCCGTTCTTTAAGACTCAAACTGTTAAGAAAGCTGTAGTTTCTGAAGAAATACAGTAATTGCCAGAGAAGAGCTAAAAGGTTTCATTGTTTTAAGACATTTAAAGAAGGAAAAAAACTTCAGAGAATCAAGGAGAGTGAGTGTCCATGAAGACAGTACCAGGCCCTATCTGGCAATCTGGAAAAAGTGAAAGAAATGTGTCTACCAACGTATGATAGCATCTATTGAGTTCAGTAGGAACAGGAGGCAAGGATCTTTCACCCAGAATTATTCTTTTAATTAAAGAAGACTGCTGGCCTGCTCTTAAGAACCACTGCCTTACATACAACTTCTGCTTTTTCACCAAGAGTAAAATTTTAGTTCCTTGGGGCCTAGATTTAAATTTACCATTGGTGTTTTGTCACCAGGTTCTATTTCCTTATTTTGTCCAGGCTACCTTAGTTCTTTTAATGGCATATGGAGTTGCTACTGTCTAATTTGTAGTATCTTTGGATAGTAAATTTTTTTCTTAAGCTTTTTCAGGTTTGAGAGATGGTATTAAAATAGAAACCCTAAACTGCTCTCTTACTGAAGGGAAAATAGCCCAGCTCTTAAAAACTCCCATTATGTACTTCTGGGTTGTTCTGTCCCTCTTCTCTCACTTCATGCTGTACTTTTTTCAGGCCCCCAAGGACTATTTCAGGGGTTGCTCCTTCGGGGTGAGGAAGACTAAAAGTGTGGGGTGGGGGAATCTTGCCAGCAGTTCATGTAACTTGTCTGTTATTTTTTTAAAGACATTTTTGTTGAATTACTGTGGTCACATGGGTAAACTTCCTCCCCTTCTTAAAACAGCCTTACAGAGGGACCTTTTAAAGATGGACCATCCTAATGAGATTTCTGCCAATCTGTTGATAACTCTAATAACAGGTGAAGGCCAGGCAGGGCAATACAGTACACTCTTTTCTGAGACCTTCCAGTGCCAGTCAGTACAAAATAGACATTTTGGTTTATTTCAGCAAAGCTTGTAATGTTGGAGTACCCCTTAAGGCAGTTTGCTTAACAATCTTGATACTTTAAGTAGTTGATAAGTGTGGTTGCCTTCCACTTACCTGTGGAATCTGTACAGTTCCCACACAATTGTCATTCAGTGGGACAGCCCCTCCCCACACATTCCCATATTCCTTCACAGGTAGAAGATCCTGGAACAGGAAGACCCCATTAAGGTACCTTTCACTCTAGCTCAGTAGAGGTGACCACTTAAAAAGACATGAGTGAGGAAGAAGCAGCTCATCAGTACTGAAGTGTGCAAATCCAGTACTCCCGTTCCTGGTAGATTTATGATGGCAGGCAGTCCAGTGATCAACAGTATCTCTGTTGGGGCAAGATATCCAGATATATTTTTACCTCAAAGGGGACAACTCATGAAGAGCTCGCTAATACAGTTGTTTCAGTTCTCTCTGTTTGACCTTTGTCTTTACAAACTTCTCTCTCTGATTCCAACCATCAGGCAAAAAGTGTAAATAGACTCTCATTTCATCAGGAATCTCCACTCACATCCTCTCGTCTGTGAACAACTCCTCTTCCATTTTCCTCTGGGCTTCACCACTAAGGCCTCATCTTGAGCTGACTTCTTTGCTGGAATTTTTTTATCTTCTACAGCAGGCACAGTAGGTGGGTGTGGTCCACCTCTTCACACAAACACTCCTTCCTGTCTTGCAGCCCATCTTTTTGACCAGCTACATATTCCACTGACCAGCTACATTATCTCTGCCCACAACAGTGGAAATAATCCCTTTTTCATAAATGATCCCTCACCCCTGTCCTAAAAATGTGAACTTCAAGTCCTTACTCTCTCTTTGGTCTTCTGAAGGGTTTGGTTAGAAGCAGTCTTCCCATTTAACTCATGGCTCTGCCTTTTAAAAATTGCTTTTGTCTTTTTTTCAGATAACAACCAGAGCATTTTTTCCTCAATGAGTCTCAACAGATTCTTAGGCAATAATTTTTCTTGTTATTGATGACCTTGTGCTCGGTAGCACTCCACATTGAATAGTCCTGACCCTAAACATTGTGCGTTGGTTTTCTGTGTTAATCTCTGTCTGTGATTTAAATCTTATGTCAGAGTGATGACGGATTTTGTCATTTTGTTGTTGTGATTATTAGTAATGTTTTTACTACTGTATTCCTTGGGGCTGCATTGAGACCAGCCAAATCCATTTATAGCTTTACTGAGCCGGATTTGTTTTTCAAGATTTCCCAAGTGAAAGTTGGGCACATTGACCAGCTCCTGCTGGTGGTATCTTTGTGGGGTATAGGGGTGGGGGGTGGGGATACAGTGGGGCGGGGGTAGGAATTACATAAAACATTCCTTTTTGTGTGCTCTCTAAATAGCAAGGATGTTTACTCAGGATTTGGGGATCAGTTGTCAGCCATATTGAATTTGGCAAACTGAGCTGCATGCCCTGAAAACCCTCTTACTGTTTCTTAATTTCCGTATTATCTAATTTACATTACCTAGTAATACCTAAATTATCCAGTTTAAAGGTATTGCACCATAATGAGAATGGAAGGTTTTCCCTGGGAGGCAACTATGAATGGCCAGGTTATCCTGTAAGGATTTCCCTAACAGTAACGTGCTGTCAAAGCAGAGGCCCTTTCTTTTTCTCTACTGCAGTCTCCTTCATTATATGCTCTTCTTTTCAAAAGATGACTATCACTTAAGAGGAAAGATTTCCTTAGCACTCTCAAGAGAACTACCATATTAAGGTGGTGGGAAGGCTTTTTAAATACATCAAGGCTACAAGTCCATTTTCTGATTACAGAGACTCCTCTCACAAATAGGTTATGTTCGGAAAGGCTGTTCTTAATTCTCTTTATTTATAAGCTAAAAGTGATAAGCTACTGCTCTTGCCATCTTAGAGGGCTGATGGTTGACTCACTGATCTCTGAAGCGCAAATGTGTTCCTATCTATGTACATTCAACAGCTGGAAGTTTATAAATTGAGAAGTTTCCATATCAGCTTTATTATTCTTTCCTGGTGGGGATGAGAAATAGCAGCAAAAAGAAAGATAATGATCTGAGAAATCCAGTTTCCTATGACATTGGTTTGCTTTTGTAATCAAGAGAGGAAGAAATATAGGAGAGAAGAGAGGGAAAATTTGGCTGCACCCAACGATCTTACATCCCCTTCTGACCGGCCCCCAAGGACATTGAGGATGCCCTTGGGACATCTTCGCCTTGGGAGTACAAATGTGTGTATCCCTGGACTTCATTTTTATCATTCTTCATAATGATAAAATTGGGGCCAAAGCAATAAGCAGAACTAAATCTAGCTGATTGCATTCAAGTGAAATCTAACTAGCATTTTTACACCACTGACAGTTTACCACACACATTTCACACCCCTTATCTCATTAGCCAGCTCCCTAACAACAAACAGAAGGATACATCTGCAGGGGGCTTTGCCTTTCTCTCCTGACGTCCCTTTTATTTGGCAAGTTTTCAGGTCGATTTACTCTAGTCTGGTCAGCAGTATCTTGCCCTCTGGTGGGTGTCTGAGTCCCACAGTGTAGCTGGTGTGGGGGCAGCAGTCAGGTGTGTGCTGGTGCCGTGGCTGCGGCATGCTAAGCTGAGGGACACGTGCACACAGCGTGGCTGGCACTTCAGACATCTTGGGATGCCAGCCCCCTTGACTCCATTTTCATTTTCTCTCTCTTTTAAATAAAAGTGGCTCTATACAGCCATAATTAACTCTCAAATTCGCATTGGTGTGCTGTGATCAAATGAAGGTTTGCCTGAATCCTTTCAAATTGTAACCATGGTAATTGAGGGGGGTGGCACAGAATGGATATATAAAAATATAGTGACAATTGTTCTGAATGACTGAATGTCCTCCTGACATGTAATTAGCTGTTTTAGCAAGATGTAGATTGGCATGGTCATAATTAAAAGGATTTCTGTCCTTTATGTAATTGAAAATGGCAGATCTCCCGTTCCCTGTTCCCTTTTAGCACTAATGCTCCCAAGAACATTTGGAATAGCAACTCAGTAAACTGAAATAATGACATGGTGTTCATGTCCTCTCCTAAGTGAAAGAGAAGGATTTGGAGTTATTTCAGCTTCAAAATGGAAGCTTTTGATTATTGCTCCCCATTTGACTTCTAAATTATTTGAAACTTCTCTCTCATATCCAGTTTCAGCCTGTTCCACCTTTGGCAGAAACTGCAGTCAGAATCTCAAACTGAGTCAACCACTGACAAGGCCTCCACAGTAGTCCCACTTGCTAACCAGCCAGAGTATTGTGTTGGCCTGACTTGAGGACATTTACTGCTTAACGAGCTCCCTAGAATTTTAAATTTTTCCTTGGTTACTTGATGCCATCACCATCAGAAAGTATTTATCAAACGGGTTTACACGTGAGTTAGAGTTTTCCTCATTGAAGCATATTTTCTAGAGCAGACAACATGACACGAACACAAACATACATATGGGCTTTAAACAACTATGTGGCATAAATGAAATACTGCTATTTGCGATGTCCTAAAGTTACTGGAGCAAAAGGACACACATGAGTTTCTCCCAGGTTTTCTCACATCACCTACATGGCAATTACCTACTTCTTCATGTCAGCAGCCTTTTGTTATCCTGAGTTTTCCCGATTGTTCTGTGTCAGTGGGATTGTCTCCCTAGCCCTTCCAAATCCATGTTCTCTCCCTCCCACTTGTCTTCCTTTCTTTTCCATCCATCCTGTCCCATTGAGCATCATGTGGTCTTGACACCTCACACGGTCCCCTGCCCATGAGGCCCACTGTTCTCACCTGGAGGCCTCACACTGGATGGGAGCTGCTGTGTCACTATCTGCCTTTTCTCTAGAATATGCTTTATTTGGTTTTTCTGTCACTTGCATAAGTCTTTATTCAGTTATATGATCAAGAGTGAGTCTGCACGAATACCAGCACCCAACATAAGGTCAAGTGGCCCTTCACAAGCTGCTGCATTCCCGTGAGGCTCGTAGCTGTGCTCGTGAGCCTGGCCCAGGAGCCCTTTCTTTCTTCAGGCCTGGACACTCCAGGATTGGTTAGTAGCCACTAAAGAAAATACAGCTCTTGCTTGTGCTCATGTTTTGCTGCTTACCTTCATACAAATCTTTTTCCCTTTCCACATATTAGAAGGAATCCTAACCCAAATGCTAGTTAAACTTCAGTTTCATGAAAATGCTGAGGTCGGCTGCTTCTTTGTAACTGTTCTCTCCCCCTACCCCAAACACACACATACAGAATTTGGGAAAAGGTTCTACCTTGGGGTTCTTTTATTTTTGTTCCCTTCAAAATACTTAGAATCAAATGGATAGCAGTTGGGCTAGATCAGGAAGAATAATGCCATAAAAGGTTTTTACTTAGTGCTTCTCTTCCTGTAAGATCTAAAAGCGACTTTCAGCCCCCAACCCCTGCACGCCTGCTTTCAGGATACACGTGCAGTCACTGAGGCTTTTCTGTGGGATCCTGTCAGTCTTCTGACAGTTGGAATGACCCCCAAAAGTAGAGTATCCCATCCTTTTTTTCCCAGCTGCTAAAAGATAATGTCTCCATTAGAATTGAGAATCTGTCTTAAGATTAGCGATTCGGAGACCTAACTGGATGAGTATAATTCTCTGATTTGTGAGATATGCATTAAAACAGCCAGCAGAACATTCTCATTATCTCCTTACCTTCAAAGAAAATAGAATTATCACTGCAGTTAAAACCTTCTAACACAATCTACTATTTTAGGGATCAAAGTATTAGATGTGCCGCTTAAGGGATGGTGCTACTTAAAAAGAACTAGAGTTGGCAAGACATTTCCCTTCCCAGGTATTTCCAGAGGCCAGTTTGGTGATTTAAAAAATGCTACATCATATATTCCTTTACCACCAGCAGCCCCCACTAAAAAGAAACAAAAAAGAAAGCCAACTCACCAAAATCAGTGAAAATATGGGTAGTGCTTACCCATGAAATACGTGTTTTTTGGAAGAAAACACCAAAAGTAAATTATTCTTACAAGAAACTAAAGATGTCATTCTAAATCATAATAGTACAAGAGACCGACATCCAGACCTCCAGAGCATTCGAAGCTTGTGATAATAGCAGCTGACATTTATTGAGCATGTACTGTGTGCCAGGCTCTGTGCTGAGTGTTTTTACTGTCTCATTATTCTTGAAGATTCACAGGCCCTACACTGAGCAGAACCACCTTAATGGAGTCAAGTAAAATCTCCAGTCACTTCTTTCATCTTAGTCGGATGTTAATTGGAGAATGGGCCACACAGAGTCTGCCCAGTACTGCTCTGAGGGAAATCACTGCGTTGAACCTGTTCTGTTTTCTCATGGGACAGTGTTGGGTAATCCCCACCAGCACACTCACACTGCCATCATCTTTCTGTGCACTGAGTTCCCTCTGACACTGGACCAGCATTACCATGATGATCTGACACCAGAGCATCCCTTCCCCTTGGCTTTTCTCCTTGGTTAGTGATGGTGACAGAAACACAGTGAGGCTCAGTGGTTGTGATGGGAAACCTCTTGTTTTAAGTCCCCCGTCTCCAGGAAGCAAATGTGAAGGTCTTGCCTTTCACTGGGAAGAATATTATGGCTGTCTTATAGTCTGAGGTCTGAAGGGAACTAGAATTTACTAGCACTGTTGGGTGTAGTTCCAGTTAGTCGAGGTGGAGCATATTAAAATCTCTCACACTTTCTGTTTTCTCTCTATTCTGCTCTTCTAGTGTATTCTTAGTGCCTGTTACTTTTAGGCATCCTGCTTGTGTTTAGAAGTGTTTTGCTAAGCCATTCCAACTCATTTTGCAGTCCCTTCCATCATGTCATGAGAGGCAGTGATGTCAGGCTAGTACTTGTGGAGAAAGGAGGCTCTGGAATTCTGGTACTGTGTGAGTGCCTGCCCTGGGCTCTCTGTGGCTCCTCATGAGCCTTAAGTGGCCAGCAAGCAGCAGTTGCATGGAGACAGATCTAGATTTTGGCTCAGCATAAGAGCTTTCTAATAACGACAATCCAGCAAAGGAGCAAGCTGCCTTGGAGTTCATGTGGCAGCTCAGTGACTGTTGTCAGGGACATGGGCTCCAAGCTGACCTGAGGACTCAAGTAAGATTCTATGTTTCTCCTTCCCTCCCTCTCCAGCTCTTTTCCTCTCAAAAGTAAGTGGTTCTCCAGGGGCCAGCTCTGTTACTGTCTCTTCTGATCTCCTCTGTCATGTTCTAGGCATCCTTGAGGCCCAAGAGAGTAGAAACCACCCCAGGGGCAAGGCGCCAGGTGGAGTGGCCCTGTGAGAGGGTCCACCAGATTGACTACTTGGGATTGAGGGCCCCTGTAATAGGCACCTTGTTTTATTAGCTGGCTAATGGGGTTTTTGATTATCCACTCCCCCCATCAAAAACCCCACCCTTGATGTGAAGGGAAGAAGGTATGCATGCCTTCACTTAGGTATTGATCCAGATTTGGTGGCATCTCTGCTGGTGGTTGGGTGCCCTTGAAATTTCAGAATAGAGACATTAACTCCTCCCTAGGAAGGAGCACGTGACTCTCTCCTACCAGTATGCATGACAGAGACGAGTCACAAAACCTGTGTTGCCTATATAACTTTTTCAAC